GTATAAACAAAATTAATATCCAACAATAATACGTGAATTATTTGCTTTGTTAAACACTAGACATAAACACCAAAAATAACTATTTGGAAACATCTTGTATTTTATATTAAAATTATGCTTTCAATTACCTAGTTATTTAATCAATTTTTATATCTATAATTAATTAAATTAACATATAAACTATCATTAATGCTAATTAAAAATAGGATAAAATTATTGATTAGAGTATACATTGAAAATATAATTGGTTACATTTTACTCAAGTATTTTATTGAGTTATGTTTACCCCAATTTGGAACCCTGTATTGTCTCTAAATAGGTTGTAGACATTTAGATTACCAGAAATATATAAAATCTCGTATACGACAATAAATTCAATTATGTTTAACAAAAATTCAACTCGGTCTTTTTTGTATTGCTAAATTCTAAATTCAGAATATATTATGAACTCATTTACATATTTTCTATTGTCTGTTATTCATATATATTAGTAATCTATGGCAAAATAAAATTTGTAAATAACTTTATATTTAAAAATAATAAAATAAATTTTAATTACTATTATAAATAAATCCACTAAAATCTTTAAGCATAATTTCTGAAATACCCATAAAACCAATTAAATTATTTATTTGATTTATTATATATAATCATAAAAGATAGACAAAATATATAATAATTTTAAATTTTAGGGCTACTTATGAAATATAAAACCACACGATTTGCTAAACATTAGGGTGTATTTTCTTATAGTAAAATAGAACTACAATCTACTTTTGATAAAATACACAAAGAGCCATTATAAATTTAACTATTCTACTGTATATAAAATATATCACAAATCGACTGTATAATAAATATACAAACATTGCGAAGTGTTATAAATAATACAGAATATTCATATCTGGAGATAAAATATGTTTGATGTTTTCCATCAATAATTCACAGCACAGAATATTCTGTACACCACAAACGTACATCATACATTTATCATGTATACAAAAATAATAAATACAGTTAAAAGTGACATGTATTAGATGAAAATATAGCGGAATGTGTCGTACCTGTTGGTGATAGTCAAACAGATTGCGCACAAGTGTACGTAATATGCGCTCCCGACGGGACAGATCGATGCCGTGGCGCTCCTCCTGACCACTGAATATAAACGGTGTCTCAACTCGGGTCACACCAAACATGAGGTCGACTGTCCGTTGACTGGCCATTGAATTCAATAGGAAAGTCTGTTGCGATGATTGGGATGGAGTGGACGACGAGGAGGAACCGCTTCCGGATGAGCCGCTCCCAGAGGTTGAGGAGGAACTGGACGTCTCGCCACCCGTTCGCCGGAGCATCAGTTGCCGGGGCTCTAACGGCACGACAATGCCGTCGACGATGGGCCCGAAGGCAGTCAAGTGTTGCGGTGTCATCAGGTCTACCCTCAGGATGTCCTCCACTGACTTTTGCCGCAGACAATCCACCATTACTACGTTATCCTATGGGTTAGAGTTAATTCATGTTGGTAATAGTGGTGGTGTTTAGTAATTAAAATGTACGCTCATTTATAACAAGTTAAATACTTACAAAATTTGGACAATTGATGGTTTTTGCCAAATGTCTGGCGTATGTGTCGGCGTCACGGGCTATGCTGGCCGGCTCTAAGGCCGAGCCGCTCATCAGCACCACTCTGGCGAATAGACCTGCAATTAATCAAATGGTTATCATTAATTATAACAAGCGATGAAATGGGATTACCA